AGTTTGGGTCTGGGTCCGGTCAGGACTGTTCGGGTCTGGACCTAGGACTGATAACTTCCGGTCCAGGTCCAGGTCAAGCCGGACCTGTTGCCACCCCTAGAAACTCTTTCTATCATCATACAGGTGACTTGGCAAGAAAGGCACTGAAGTAGAAAGAAAATAGAAATCAATCCATTCGAGTGGTAATGACAGAAATATCTTGGAAAATCAGAAATTGCATTCTTGATATTTAGATCCCACTCCTGAAGATATGTGTCTATAAGAGTTGGGAACTTTCCGCATACACCGAGAGCTTTGGGTGAGATTTGTTGCAAGAATACTTGTAAACACAAAGTTATTACGCGCTACTTACATTACTCATTGTATATGCACTTTATACTTTCCCTAACCGAAAGAAAGAACAAAGAAAAAAAAAAAAAAAAGAAGTGTGAAAGTTTGAACTAATAAGGAAAATTATCGTAATGAACAACCATTTCTTTTAATTTAATTTTAAAAATTCCATCAAAAGACATTAATCATGAGTTATAGTAGTTGAAATTTTAGAGATATTTTAATGAAGGGAAATGAGATGTCTACCTCAAAATATCAAGTAAGACGCACCTCCAAGTCATGGTAGAAAATGTATTCCAATGCCAGAAACATCCTTCATGACTTGAAAATCTATGTTTACAATAGGGCAAATCAATAAGATCTACGAACACTTGAAAATCTTGAAAATAGACGGTCCATATATTGTGTGACAAGGTGCATTATCTTTAGGACTTAAAATTCTTTTTTTTTTTTTTCTCATACTATACATATCAAGCTCGAGATGGTCAACTGGAGGACTTTCTGAGTCCAAACAAAACAACATTTTCAGGTGGGTTTTTTGAAGTGTGCCTAACTTTTATAGTGTATGGCTGATGCTTTACATAATCTTTTTTCTTCTCTAAATGGGTAAAATGTAAATAGTTGACCCTTAACGTAATTTTTGATAAATTTAAGATGATAATATTGATCCAAAATTTTGAATGGAATTTGAAAATTTGAAACTCCCTCCATGTAACGCATTTTCTTTTCTACAGAATTATATATATCAAAAAGTCAAAAAATGTCTATCCCCATTTAGATTTACTCCTTAAAACAATGTTTAATATACCCCTAAAATAGCTTAGCTTAATCTGCTTTTCTATTTTTTAGCAAACGCAAGTAAGAAGAGAAATTTGGGCTGTTTTGCTTTTGGTTAGCTTGTACCAAAAGGTTTGAAAAACAAAGCACATATATAGTAATTCAATGGAAAGCAATGTCTTTCCTAAATAAGGACTAAGTTTAGAAAGTGAGTGGCTGGTTAGACATTTTTCAGAACAATGAATATGATTCTGTCCATATGCATTGTTCTTGTTCTATGTTTGATGCCTTAGATTTTCTTTAAAATTTAGAATGGAGGCTCCTTTCATTATAGGGCAGAGAGAGATGAGCATTCTCAATTGCCATTTTTCTAGCAAGTCATTAGGAGTGTTTTAAACTTCATCACAACTTGTCGTGGTCCCGAGGTTGAGTCGCTCATCGAACTCAGGTGATTTTGAGTTGAACTGGCATATTAAAAAAATCTAAACAGTGCTTAAAATGTGAGATTCAGAAGATTTTAGTGTTTTTGAGCCCAATACTATTGGCTTCCGATTTGGTTCGATTGAGTCCTGAATGAGACCAACAATATTTTAAACACTGGTTATTAGACATCCCTTGAAGAAAAGTGAAACTTTTAAAATTGGTAATTCATTTTAGGGAAAATATCTGTGTACACCCTATTTTGAAGTTCCATTTCCCAACAGACCCAAGGTTAGAAAACATTTATGGGAGCACATTTTTTAGAGTATAGAAATCCCACATATTATATCTTTTACCCCCGATATAAATTTTATTCCTTTTGACCAATTTGAAAACATTTAAGTTCTTTTTGACCGCCTGCTCTAACAAAAAGTAAGAGACACCTTTCTATTTTAATAGAGTGAATCCCAATCAAGAAAAGAGGCATGGACTAGCCCAAAATTTCTAAGCATAATTTTACAATTTAAAACCAAATTAGCACTCTTCTCACCTCCTCTCATCGCACACGTGCAAGATTCCACTGCTCCTTACAATGCGCATGAGCTAAGGTTAAGGAAGACAATGCTTATCAATAGCCGACTTTTATTTATTATTTCTATTTCATCTCGGACTAATTATAATTATATGTAGCATCCATAGAAAGCAAGTATTGCACATTCAGTGGTTTTGAACATTAGTGAAGGTGGGTTTCAATGGTTAACAAATATGTGGTTTTCATAAGCTGTTTTTCATTAGCAGTTTTAGGGTTACTCAAAGTAGTTTGGAATCCTATTTAATTAAACTTTTCAGCCTGCCAAACGCTGAGCAAAGCCATTCTGGGGTTTTGTCAGCCTATATAATGGGCCCTTTTTCCCTTAGTATTATCAGTTAAGGATTGTAGGTTTTAGGGTTTCATAGGGTCTTGTTATTGCTAGTTTGGTGGTTCGAGAGAGACAGAAAGAGTGGTTTTAGGGTTCGGATCGATGGCTGATATGGACGATTGTCTCTCTTCCATTGAAGAACCAAACAAAGAGCAGGTCTCTAGGAGAACTTGCACTAAAGCTTTTATGAAAGGACACGCAATAGGGAGGGCTGTAAATCTTAACACATTGAACAGCTATGATCAGCTTAAGGATGTGTTAGAAGACAAGTTCCAGATATGGGGTGAGCTTCTGAACAGCAATCATAAGTGGGTCCTGCTTTATATAGATCATGATGGCGAAATGATGATCGTTGGTGATGATCCATGGCTGGAATTTCGCAACATAGCTAAAAAGATCTTAATCTACAGCAGAGAAGAAGTCAATAGGATGATGTTGCCAGCTGATTTTGGGTTCTAGTTTTGGGCAAAGAATATGGTCTCAATGTTTCTTGGTTATAGCTGTTGTAACTTTTTCATGATTAAGTATGGCTATCAAACAAATTATGTATCTTTTCTACCAAAAATCTCAATTTTCATAATCATGGATGCTTTCTAGTATAAGAGTGGCAATACACTGGGCCAAAGTTGGCCAGGTCCTGGACTGTCCCGGCCCTAAAGGGACTCAAGGGGTCATGGCCCTGGCTTAGACCTAAAAGTTAGGGGTGGAACGGGTGAGGTCGGATCTAGTCAGACCCGGACCAGGAACCGACTGGAACCCAAGTACCTGGATCTGATTGGACTCGAACCTAGACCTGATTGGACCCGACAATAAAAAAATAGTATATAAATTTAAATATAATTAAATTTAGTTAAGTATATACATGCATTATTTAAATATTATAACTAAAAATAAATATACAATTATATTTATTTAAGAATTATTTAAATATCAAAATAGTATATATTAAATAGTATTTAAGTTGTAGCACTATTCGGGTTGGGTCCACATGGATCCGAACCTAAAAAGTATTCGGATCCAAGTTTTGGACATAGACCTGACCCGCCGGGTCCCATTTTTGGACCCATACTCGGACCTAGGTTGGGTCTAGTCATTGGGTCCATTGCCACATATACTAAACGTATCATTGTAGCCCAGCCTAGCCTAGCTTGAACTTATTTGCTCAAGCTGGGCTGGACCTATGCCTAAGGGTGGCAACGGGCTGGGCCAGCCCTATCCTGGCCCTTGTTCCAATAGGCCAGGCCAGGCTAAAAAAAAAAAAAGCAAAGCAAAAAGAAGAGAAAAAGAGGGGAGGGCTGGGCCAGCAATGACCCTAGCCCAACCCTCGGGCCACAATTTGTGACCCATGCCGTATTTTTTAGGGCTAGCCGGATCCTGCCAGGCAGGGATGTGCTGCCTGGCCCATCGCCAGCCATACCTATGCCCAGCCCTGTCCCGTTAAAATGCATAGCAAAAGGTATTTTCCTGGAACTAGAAAGTCACATCATTCTTAGTTCACCATTGAGTATGAAGCGCTAATTCACATAGGCAAATACACTCAAACATCATTCATTCACAACTCGCAAGGAACAAAAGGCAAAAAAAAAAAACAGTAATTTCTAACACAGTTGCAATCTAATTTAGAGTTCTTCTTACATCAAGAAATGCATAGGCACCTCTATTTTAAATGCATACTCATTAAAATGCAAAAGAAATAAGGACTAAAGGTGTTTATTTCAGCGAATTTCATCAAGCCTCTCAACAAGTTGCACAAAAAATTCCACGATTCATAAGAGAAGTAGGAGTAAACTTCAATTAATACCTCTTGCAACCTGGCAGGGCCGGGCCTAGAATGTCAAGCTTGACAGGGCCTACTAGCCGTTTTCCGCAACAAATCAATTTTCTTTCTCATGGATAGATTCAAGTATTTTTTGAAGGTAAGGGTGTCAATAGTCCAGGCCAGTTTTGGCCTTACTTTGGCCCTAAATATTCGAAGCCTGGCCATGGACCGGCCCAGACCTACATGGGCTCAAGGAGCCATGGCTGTAGCCTGGTCTAGAAGTATGGGTGTCGTTTGTATAATGAAATTTCAGCATACTTATGCTTTGGGAATTGTTTTAATTTGTACATCTTTGCAAATGAATTGTTAAGTCTAAATTATGGAAAGATGAATGAACAGACCCATATAAACCATTGGCAATCTATATTCCATCGAGTATCCGATTGAAAAAAATGAGTGGATTTGGCTAATCCTCAAATACATCTAGTTCAAATTGTTACATAATAAAGATCTATGTAACCGCAATTATATGACCAATTGTATATGACATTTATTGCTTGGTCCGAAAAGATTATTGTCTTAGTATATGAGCAATGATCAGAATATCTATACCGGTAAGGAAGACAAAACCATTTTATATGATTTGGAGATTTGAAGGATTTTTGACATTTGAAGGATCTTTGATATTTGAAGGTGTTTTGGTAAATCTCTATCTACATGTAAAGATAATCTCTCCACGCATCTAAAGGTAGAATAAGAAGCCATCTAAAGGCAGTATTGTTGATACCTCTTTGGGTTATATTTGGAAATGGCCAGTTCCAGTTAAAATCCAAGCCTTCCTATGGGTTGCATGTCAATGGATGTTTAACAATAGATAATTTACAAAAGAGAAGTAAAATTCTTCCAAACATTTGCTTGATGTGAAAAAATGATGAAGAATATTGCTCTCATCATTTCCTTCACTGTCCTTTTGCTTCTAGCTTATGGCTCTGTGCCTTCTCTTTATTGGGTCTTTTTCCTCATGATACCTTTGAATCTCATCAATATTATTAACCATCTTTCTGCCATTGGACTACCAAAAAAAGAAGTTGTAATTTGGAAAATTTTCAGAAGTGCAATCTTATGGCAGATTTGGTTAGAACGTAAGAGGAGAACCTTTGATGGGGTATCTTAGAGTATTGAAAGGGTAAAAGATCTCAATTTACAATCTCTTTGGAATTGGTTTTCCTCCATGCCTGAAGGACAGGGTGCTCTTTGGACTGGTATTTATATCAATCTGAAATTTTTGGCTCATTCTACCTCTCACTCTAGCCGTCCCCTTAGAACTTGGATTGCACCTCTAGAAGCTTGCCTCAAACTTAATTTTGATGGCGGCTCATTTGGAAATCTAGGGTCTGCAGGTGTTGGTGGGCTTCGCAAAAATTTTGGATCGGTTCTTTTTTCTTATTCAGGTCCTTGTGGGTCTACAACAGCCAATCATGCTAAATTGGCTGCTCTCCTTCAAGGCCTTCATATTATCATCGACAAGGGTTTCATTGGTGATATTATAATCGAAGGGGGTTCCCTGAAGGTTATCAAGTGATGTAGAAAAGAGAAAAGGATCCCCTAACCCCTATATACTCTTTGGTTAAAAATTCAATACCTATGTGGTTGGCCTAATTTGAGGATAAGCTTCGGCCACACCATGCGCGAAGCCAATGATGTTGCTGATGGGCTTGCTAAACACGGTGTTTCTCTTCCCTTTTTGTAAGTTTCTAATGATTTGATCTAATCTTTATAATCTCATGCTCTTGAAGCATTGCTTTAATAAAAATTCAAAACATTTGTCAAAACAAAAAAACCAATATTAGTCGACTTTAAAAAAAAAAAATGGTGGTTTAATGGTAGGAATAGAACTCTATTTGAGTTGATCGTATGTTCACATCCATATGCAAAATTTTCACATTAAGGTTTATCTGGTATATGGTTCTAGTTTTTATTTCAATAATCGCCACCATACTCTAAGACAAGTTATGAGGAATGGGTTTGAATACCAAATGTGGGTGCAAGAAGTAACCCATATCCTACTTAACTGCATAAGATTTCTTTTAGAGGAAATAATATAACATTTTAAAATGGAAAAGCATATTAGAGGGCCACGACTTTATAAAGCTGCACTTCATCCCCAAAGAATATCTGTCTTGTAACATGGTTTTTGTATTCAAATGTTCACAGGTCTGTTAGATCCGCACTATTTTTGGATCTTCAAATTCTATAGTATGAAAATAGAAATAGATGTTATGGGCATTAGAACCAGCGTAGAAATCTATGACTAGGGGATGGAACTCGGTCATGGGCCGAGCCGGGTAGCCGAGTAACTCCCGTTCGCTCGATAGTGATTAGAACAATTCCTTGCGTCAGGACAGCAATTTCCGTGGGGATTTTTAAGTTCGAGCTTCAAATTCTGCAAAAAATGGAAACCATTGAAGGAAAAAGTTTAGGGAAAATTACATAAAAATTCGTTATGCTTTGCGTTATTACGGATATACCAAATAGTTTTCGTTATTACATGTATGTTCGTTTTTTATCTTTTATAATGTAATTTTTTTAAAAAAGACCACTTTACCCTTTTTCGGATGTTCAGCATCCGAAAATAGGCCGAAAGTTAAATGTTAAATTTCCTATTTTCAGATGTTAAACATTCGAAATTAAATGATTTTCGGATGTTCAACATCCGAAAATACCCCGATTGTTGAACGTTAAGTATAATATTTTCGGATGTTAAACATCTGAATTTAAGAGATTTTCGGATATTGAACATCTGAATTTAAGAGATTTTCGGATGTTCAACATCCGAAAATACCCTGATAGTTAAATAAACCTTCGTCTTCTCTGTTTTCAGATGTTGAACATCCGAAAATCTCTTAAATTCAGATGTTCAACATCCGAAAATATTATACTTAACGTTAAACTATCGGGGTATTTTCGGATGTTGAACATCCGAAAATTCCTTAATTTATGATGTTTAGCATCCGAAAATAGGAAATTTGAAGTTTAACTTTAGGCCTATTTTCGGATGCACCAATTCGGATGTTCAATATCTGAAAAAGGGTAAAGTGGTAATTTCTAAAAAATTGTGTTATAAAAAGTAAAAAACGGACATACATGTAATAACGGAAACTATTTGGTATATCGGTAATAAAGCAAAGTATAATGGATTTTTATGTAATTTTCTCAAAATTTATATAGAGCCGAGGCTCTAAATAATTATATTTGAGCTTAACTAAAAAATTTCACTAGAAGAGGTTGTTTTGATGCCCAAATATCCTCAAATGGATTATCTCGATATCAAGATATATGGACATTAGAAAAAAATGGATTTCAAGTTTTGGAAATAGTGTATTTTGTAACGCATTTTTGGACTGTCAATTTTCAAGATTTTCAAGGTTTTATAGATTTGTCGATCTATGCTATTTTTGAAGCTTTAAATTTTATAAATAAAGATGAAAATATATTTTAAGGCCATCACAAAGATTTCTAGTATTGAAACCACATTTCTCGAACCAATTTAAAGGTAGGCTCTAATTTGTTTTTTTAGAGCCTAGGCTCTATACAAACCGCACCCGCCATTGAAAATTCTTTTTTTTTTTACTCCTTTCTCACAAATTCTTGATACAAAGAACCACAAAGATAATCTTCTAATTAACATCCATAACTCATA